CTGATATATAACATGTACCACCTCTGGACATCATGTTTATGTTACGAAATGAACGAATGCTTTTGACCAAATCTAAGACCCGACTGACAGATAGTTGTACCCTGATATACTAATAATTTGTTACAATAAATGATGTTTTATATTAAAATAATATTAGATATACAAATAGTTACGGATACAAAATGTTAAAGTAGCTATTCAGAGGTAATAAAAAAACTTAAATGACGTCTCTGGAGGGAAGACCTCTGTGTTTCCTTCTATCATCCACTAGATGGTGCTCTTGGAACTGGTTTTGCTTTTTGTGTTCAAGTGCACCAGTCTGGAAGTGGACTTGATTTGTTTCTCTGTTTACGTTCCACTTTTATATTGGGTTTTCAATTGGTCTCTCACTGATGTTGACCTATGGTTTTCCAAGTACTGTTTTCCAAGGCTGTGAACAGAGTTGAGTGCAGAGTCCATTAATAAACTTACTAACACTATTTATTACTGTGAACAATAATGCATTAATAAGGAATGAGCTGCCACAGATTTTAAAAGGGCTTTGAAAGCAGCTCATTAACTATCTGCTTAATAAATGCTTTTGAGCTCAGTGTACAGTTGCAGATAACAGCTTGTTAGGGTTTAAGTCTTGTCTTTACTAATTTTTCTCCTGAACTGCATGCACACTGGTTGTTATTTGTTTTACACTGCTTATACTGCATACTTTTTCTTAAGGCAAAACAACAGAATTACTCAGCCAAAGACAATCAGATATAAAATATTCATATATTATAATATATGTAATATATATATATTTCTGTCATGACAACTCTCGGGGGGATTGGCATGGTAATGTACATGGCAATGGTAATGTATTTGGTCTTGGCGGAATAGATCTGCTACACTGCTGCTGCGGCAAAGCAATATATATATATTTTTTTTTTTTGCTTAGTCCCATGTTCCTGAACTGCATAAATAATGGGCTGTGTCATGACAAGAGGTTGAGAAATTATTGAAAAATATGTGCAGAGAGCACAAGAATATTCAGAACCTTTCATTTTACTGAACCTTATTCTAGCATGTCTTTATTTAAAAAAAACAAAAAAAAACATTGCTATTGTTCAACTGTTTAAACTCCTTTCCCCCAGTATTTAATTATCTGTATTTTCTCAAAGTTTTAGATTCAAAATAACAATATTTCCTGAACAAATGTTCCTTAGGTGTATGCAAGTCTATTATGGACATATTCTATTAAATGTTCAGAAAATACCTCAGAATGATATTGAACAGCTTATGGGAACCATAACTCACATCTTGACCTTTTTACCTTTTCAGGTGCCTTTAGCTATTATTTATTTACAGAACAATGTGTTTCAGAACATTTTGTTTGTTTTGATTGGTTTAAAAAGCCACATGCTATGTTAAAGTTATTTATACTTGTTCCTGGTGCCATGTATTAAAGCCAGTTTTCAGTATTTTGGAAGCAATCTAGTGGATGCTGGAAGCATGACTAATACATTCTGTTCCAGATCTGATCTCAGTAGGTGCTTTGGATAAGGTAATTTCATTTATTTATCGTTTATCTTCTAATTTTGTGAGTTACTGTCAAATAACTCCAAAGCCATGTTATTATGTCCAGGGCTGCGTTTCCCAAAAGCATCGTAAGCTATGTAGATTGTAGTTCCAATGCCACCAATGGCCTATACGATCAATTTATCTCACAATGCTTTTGAGAAAAACAGCCCAGGGACCTGTACCAAGAAGCCGGATTAGCTGGCTAGCCAGGTAAGTTTCAGTTTAGTTTGCACCAATCCTGGGTTTTAGGTACCATGAAAGTGGCTTGGCTTTTAGCAGCGTTCATTGCCATAGTAACTTACACTCCACAGCTAACCTGCTCGGGGGCAGGTTATGTTCTGAGTTAGAGATCTCAAACTGAAATTGGACCAATCAGATGTGAGCAAAGTGACACATGTCTGACACAAAAAAGTCACTCCCCCAGTTTAACTTGCTCCAAATTAAAGTTCACTAGTACAAAAAAAAATGTCTGGCTTTAATGATACGAGAGTTATTTTATATGATTTATATAATTATATGATTTATATTATTCCATTCCACACAAGCAATTTTAGTTTAACAGTTATTATAAATTTATTTTCAATGAATGTTAATATATACAGATCGTATGTAATATAAATAAGCTGTAGAATCAATAGATAATGCTTTAAAAATGACTATGTGACCTTACAAGTTTCACTTGTGACTGCACCGATAAAGCAAGATAATTTATTGTATTTGTCCTCTTTCATGAACAAGTACTTTTTCATTGTAAATGCGTTTAAATTCATCATATTATTCAATCTCTTAACCTTCAGCAAAACCATTAACCTTTGACCAAGGCTCGTGATTGGCTGTTCGCCAGTGATGTCACACATTCATGCGCACATGCTCCACAAACTGCAGGATCAAAGCCTGAGTTGACAAAGAAAGTTGATGATCAGCATCATGGTACCAACAAAGCCGGATTGGAGTGGTTTGGTTTTGTCAACTCGAAACTAATCCTGTAACTCTGAATTTGTCCATCTACCATCATGGTACAGGCCCCATGTTCTTCAGCATATAGCAACAACTGTACAAGCACTGCACTACCACTAGATGTCACCATATCATTTACAATTTAATACAACACGGTAACAAGATACAAGAACAAGATACCTTTTGAAGGTTGTGACTTTTTACCCCCAATAAATATGCCTATTATGGAAAACTATCAAATGAATTAAATTAAGCATTTTCAGGAAGTGTCTTACTTTAAAATAACAATAGTATTTTTTTTTTTTAAATCCTGTCCTCCACAGCTCACCTCGCCTTTTCACTAAATCAACAAATGTAACTCCAGCTATAAGGTTTCCAGCTAAAATCATAAGTAGGCTACTTTTTTTATTGACTTTGGTTTCCACAATATTTTAATAACGCTTAGGCGTTTTAATAACGACAGGCTATATTTATTTATCATTTAGCGTAAATCTGGGGAACACAGGACATCATCTTGACAGTTAGAACATCAACAAAATATTATATCAACCAAATATTATTTATTCAAAACCAAGAGGGATTAAATACACAAACAGCTAATGATACTGTGGAAAAAAGAACACACACACACACACACACACACACACACACAAATGCGGATTTTGTTTTGGATACGTGTTTTTGAAACCAAGCAATGCTTAAAGTTGCCTCAAAGTGCACCACATGACACGGACAAACACTGCAGCCAAGGAACTTGTAATGTTACACTCAGTCATTATGGTTGTCATCCGGCTGGCTCATATTGTAACTGACAGGTGAAACTAAGACATGTAGATTTAACATTTCCTGGTTTAAACTAAAGGTATTACATGCTTTGATCAGACATTGAGATTTTATGTGTCACACTAATCAAATGCAGATAATAGGCTCCTAATATTTAAATCAGTTCACTGCCAAAGTCCTGGGAAACGTTTTGTATAAAGTTAGTATGGCCAATGCCAAAAGTTAACCATAAGGCTACAATATGCTCTTCTAGAGTAATAATATTTAACGTCCACATTTAAAAGTGAAGTTAAAGGTGTCCTTAGAAAATTATGGAGAATAGAAACGCATCAGTGCTGAATGGCAAACTTATGCTACATAAAAATTGCACCGATCTGATAGGCTACTAATAAACTTTAATCTGGTGATCTTGTGGGCTTCCTCCAATTTCCTCATACTGGCTATTTTGCACCATGTAAATTCTCTTCATTATCGGATCTTCATACGTTCTATAATTGTTGGGTTATGCGCAGCTTAATTAAAGCCATCCATGATTTGACGGAAAATAAAAGGCTTAAAAATATCTATACAGAAAGTGTAGATTAATTTGCGATTCTTTTGCAATTATTATACACACATTTGTTCTATAATAATGACTGACAAATGTCATTTTTCACATTTCAAATGTCAAATTTGATTACCAAATGCAAATAAAACAGGAAATAAAATGGAACGAATTGTTAAAGTCGAAACAAAATAAAACCGAAAAAAAGATAGCCTACTTCGAAACCTCGTGTGTTCGCTACAGGCTCCTTCATACGAAACTCCCTCTCTCTAAAACAGCATGCAATAATTGATCTTAGGCGGATGTGCACATACATGTGTGTGTTTTGTGTGGTTCAAGTCTCTTGCAGAAGAGGTCGCACGTGCACCTCCGCCACAGAGAGAAAATCCTCCTCCAGTCAGTCTCGCGTGTCTCACTTCTATGGAAATGAATTCCGTGTAGTCTGCCTCGCGCCACCGCCGTCCGGAAATTGAATGGGATATAGATTGTGATCCCGGAGGGAAACCGCAACACCTGTCTTGTCTAATAATAGTCTTTCTCTCCTTTATTCTGTAATCCATTGTCTCCTTGCGCAGATCAAATTTCAACAGTAACCTTGTATTAAATGAACACCCTCTACTGTTAATCAGACCTGTCATGGCCTAGAAAGTTGTGACATTTCTCAACTCGGCAAAGGTTTGTGGTGACACTCGCAGGCTATCAATGCGTGGTTGAATTTGCTTATATTTAATCATACACCTACAAACACGTTCCCCTTTTGTTTACACTAAAACCACAATATTCATTGGAATCTGGGGTTTTAGGGTGGGATTAAATAGCCTATGTTGTTTGCTTATGTCAAGATATTGTTTTCCTGGGCAACTGGACTAGTCACATCCACGCCTGGTCAGTTCTGGATATCCATAAGGTTACAAAATACAAATTGGGCCATTTTTTTCAATTTAAGCCTCCTGCGACTTGGTATTCAGCAAAACTCAGAAGTGATTCAGGGGCAAGAGAAAGTTTCAAGCAGCTATGTCACCTGATTTGGATTGAAAGAACTTGGGGGGGGGGGCTCTTTCTCCCCACCCCCACAGAGAGGAAGACCGCCCACACCACAGACAGTCGGCCCGAGACCCCTTATACACTTAAAAAGAGGTGGCACTCTGAGAGCAGCGTTCATTCAGCACTGCCTGAGTAAGAAGATTACTTTTACACTGCTCGTCTAGATACTCTTTCTCTCTTTAAACATGCAAAGGATGCTAAAGCCTCAGCCGCTCCACCCGGGAATGATTTTATTACTCTTATGGCTCTGTTATTTGATTGAAGATCAAAAAGTGCAAGGTGAGTGCACCTTTTTCTTTCTTTCTTTCTTTTTTTGCTGTATTTGTTTCTTCTAAATTATTACAATAATAATAATTATTATTATTTTGGCATGCTTTAGATATCAGTATGGGCTGCAATTCATTTAGAATTAAAGTCTTCCTTTAGAATGAAGGGAACTGCTTAAATACAAGACAACTGTAAAGTTTTGTTCTTGGCTCGCGCCTGCATTGGTGTCCTCGAGACAGGTGCGTCCTTACATGCACCATTATTTAAAGGGGAAAAAACATCCCGAATTTACTATACTAAATTAAGTGGTGAAAATTGCAGCAGAGCATTTTACCGTTATCTAAAATAAATGCACAATATTGTCTAAATTAGAGGACACCGAGATGCATCTTGCAAATAATAATAAAAAAATTAATAGCCTATTAATATGATAGTATTATTGTCTAGTAATAATGTGAAGAATGATTGTTTCGTATGAATGCATATTTAGCACATTCTCAAATCATCCTTTATGCATTAGACATTCGATTGTATTTTTCTCAGATAGTAGGTAGTGAAATTAAACACTGCCTACCTCGTCTGGTTTTCCAAAAATCAGTGGACATAATGAATAAAAAAAATGTGTATCATTTTTATGCATTTAATTATTAGAATCGCTTTGCGCATCTGTCATCAAAACGGCACGATCATTTTGAGAACAAAGTTTGATGAAGCTCGCGTGACTGTATGATTTAATTGGATTGTCTGGCGCGTGGTATCCCCGGCGCGAATGCCTAATTTAATACATAAACACGACTAATTCCCCTCAGGGTTGACCCGACAGTTCAAAAAATGTCTGATTCCTAGTCTAAGCAGCGGATAAATGCGTTTGTGTTGGTAAAAGCAGCGTTTGGAATGCTAAGTGTCTAAGTGTGTTGAAACGTGATGAGCGCAGACAGTTGGCACAGAGCGCTCGAGGAACTGGAGTCTAGACTGCCATGCACATTGTTTAAATAGGTACGAGGCTGTCAATCTGCCACTTACTTCAAGACAATAAATCTCTGCACGGTCTTAACATATTCGACGACAGGAAAAGCATATTCCCGAGCAGACCCGGAGCCCCTGAGTTGTCTGGCCGAAGGCAAGCAAGTGTAAAATAGTCGCATCACGTTGGGAAAAATCAGACAAAATACAGCGGGGGAGGGGGAGCAGGAGAGCTCCAGCTAATACAGGCTGCACGTGTTGTGTCTGGGTCATTGGCTTCAGACTTTAATACGACTGGCTCTTTTTTTTTTTTTACAGCTGGTAACTGCTGGCTACAGCAAGGCAAGAACGGGAGATGTCAGGTCCTCTACATGCCTGGGATGAGTCGAGAGGAATGCTGCCGGAGTGGGAGGCTGGGTACATCTTGGACTGAGGAAGATGTGCCAAACAGCACATTATTCAGGTGGATGATCTTCAGTGGCGGGGCTCCAAACTGCATACCTTGTAAAGGTAGAATCCCATGTTCGTTTGTTCAGGTGGAAACCTCTATTAGCATATGTTGCTATTATACCTCATAAAAACATATTACATGCATATTTCAAAAGTATAAATAATAATAAAAGTTACTGTGCTTCAGTGGTCATGCCCCCATCCTTACTTTAATATAAATAAAGTCACAAACATAGATTAGTAATATTAATGTAGAACAAAGATTCAGTGGCTTTACATATCATGTTCCTGTGTGGCTGAATTTTAGAGACATGTGATAATGTGGACTGTGGCCCTGGGAAGAAATGTAAAATGAACAGGAGGAGTAAGCCTCGCTGCGTCTGCGCCCCAGACTGCTCCAACATCACCTGGAAGGGGCCGGTGTGCGGCTCAGACGGGAAAACATACCGAGATGAATGTGCCCTTTTGAAATCCAAATGCAAAGGGCACCCGGATCTGGAGGTGCAGTATCAAGGCAAATGCAAAAGTAGGTAACCCACTGCTTCCACACAAAAGTCTTACAATTATGCAGGTCTGATTTTTAAAAAAGTACTGTCTTACCTTGAGAGAGATTTTAGCAGGTGTATCCAGTCCTACAGTATTTTCAATAGAGTTTATACTAGATAAAGTCAGTGCTAAAACACTAAAGAATAAAGGAAGATTTTAGGAAATCAAAAAAAGATCATTGGTTGTGAAAATGAGAAAACCAGGTAAAAGAGTATCATTCAGTCTTCCCTTCTCATCCTCACAGAGACGTGCCATGATGTCATGTGTCCGGGAAGTTCGACTTGCGTGGTGGACCAGACAAACAACGCATACTGTGTGACGTGCAACCGCATATGCCCAGAGGTCACGTCTCCAGATCAGTACCTTTGTGGCAACGATGGGATTGTTTACGCCAGCGCGTGCCATTTAAGGAGAGCCACGTGCTTGCTTGGTAGATCCATTGGTGTGGCATATGAAGGGAAATGCATCAGTGAGTGTCAACATTTGCCTGTTTCATTTAAATGAGAAAAGTTGAAAATGGTGGAATTTGTTTTCAGTTCAGAGTGCAACGATGGCGAAATCCCAAATGAATTCAGTTCCATTAGTCTTTTGTGACAATCCCAATTGTGATTATTACTTGCAAAGGAAAGTCATTTTTGTCTAATTGTTTCCTGATGTTGGCAACATCGTCTTGTGTGTTATAACAAAATGAGCGTGACACATTTATGAATTTCTATGTATGAAACACTAGTGTTATCAGTAAAAATTGACGTTTCTTGTCCCCTGTTGGTTTTTTAGAGGCCAAGTCATGCAATGATATCCAGTGCAGCGTGGGGAAGAAGTGTCTATGGGATTCCAAGATGGGTCGTGGGCGCTGTGCAGTTTGCGTGGAGTCGTGCCCAGAAAGTCGCTCAGAGGAGGCCGTGTGTGCCAGCGACAACACCACATATCCCAGCGAGTGCGCCATGAAGCAGGCCGCTTGCTCTTTGGGGGTTCTCCTGGAGGTTAAGCATTCAGGATCTTGCAACTGTAAGTAATAAATCTTAAAAGACAATCCAATGCTGCCCCCAGCAACCACCTCCCCAAAACCTCCCACCCCTCCAAATAATGCCTCTTCATTCCCTTGCTGCTGCTAAGAGTTAAGCTACAGAAAGGACTTAGGATTGGAAGTTCTTTGCATGTCCTCTTTGGCTGGCTTCATTAATTTAGCATTTTCTTCAGAAGAAAAACAAATGTTTATTTAAAAAAGAACCCACAAAATCAATGGAAATCAATTGATACATTGTAAAAAGAGATATATATATATATATATACATACATAAATGTTACTCTTTCAAGGAGTCCTTTGACATATTCATTTTCTTCATTTAACTAACAAGAAAACATGTGCGGACTAACTTTTGCAGTTAAAGACATTTGAATTCTAGTTCAGACTGACCTGTTATTGACCAGCAAATTGAGTTCATATTTCCCCTTTGTTATAGTGTAAATGTAGAGACTTATATAATCATATCAGCTTGTCAATTCCATATTCATGGTTATCATGTAAGTGTTTTATGAATTATGTTTTTTGTTTGATTTTGCCTTTGGCTGTAATCAGTTATTTCAAATGCACTATGACATAAATAGCTCTGAGGGTTTGAAACGACTTGAATCCTTTTCCTTACGCTCACATAAGGTGATTGTAACATTGGTGCTGTTGTTTAAACGTTACCTAGACTACCTATTTTGACCGATGGTTCACTAGCTTTGAGAATGGATTGATGAAGCTAGAGCTGCCATTAATGAGGGAATACCTACATTCCGATTTGTGCTAGCGAACGAATCAAATGATCAATGTGAACGAATGGCTTACCTTAATGTTCTTGTGCCTTAAGGTATGTACGTCATTTCAAGGGACCAACTTTATGATCACCTCATGGTTTGAATGACTACAGCATTTTACAGTTTGTAGGACAAGAAAATGTTATTAGTAGAGCAATGCTTTCTCAGTCTCTGCTGTTAGACATGTTTCGTTAGGGGAATTTGTGTGTGCAGTTCTGCTGTGGTCGTGTTGTCCTATTTGTTTGTGAGGGACTGCATATTTGTTTCATTGCTTTGCCTGTCATTTTTTTCAATGTTATTTCCAGAAATATATATATATATATATATATATATATATATATGATATACCTCAGAACCATATATACCATTGCTTGACCACGTAGCTAAGGTCAGCCGGTGCACAACCTGTGCATCCAAAGTAATGGATTTAAGACACAAAACCAGAAAAAAAGCAGCCATTCATGGAATGCAAGAGCACTTTTTTGGTCTTGATTCAAAAATCTGCCAAACAGACCTGAGCCATTAAAGCCTCTGATCAGCCCCATCCCATCACACCGCTGACTTCCTTCATTATGTACGTCTTGTTGCATAATTTTGGGAGCCAGAGCACCTGGTCAAGCTGTCAAGTAGCCTAAAACCCACTAGATTGTCAGAGGCTTTGGGATAAAGACAAATACTCACATACATTCTGCGCTGTTGTGGTCTATATTCATGCAACAGCTACCATGTATTCTCCCATATAGCCATTACCGAAGACCAGGAGGATGATGACGAAGAGGAAGACCAGGACTACATGGCTTATATCCAATTATCACCTGTACTGGATGGATAAAGCACCATCAACCAGTGGAACAGTCCTAGGGCAAGGAATCACGTCCACACTGTACATATGTGTATGCTAATTTATTTTTCAGAGAAAAAAGAAAAAAGTATACATGTAGTCCAGTCTGCTTGATGCTTATTTATACAGTGTTCTGTTTTATAATTTATACATTTACAGTGTCTGGCATACTTGTCTATCATGTTATTTTGTTTTCACTTATGTTGTCTTTCTCTTTTCTTCTTTTTATTTTTATTATGACCGAGAAATATATTTGTCCAAAGAGAAGCAGTGTTATTTATTGTGAGGTAAAATGCTATCATGTAAAGTGTGAATCTTCTGCAAGCTGTAAATTGCATTCCCTGAGCTGTATAAATGCTTATCAATGTCAATTCTGTATCACAGATATTTATTTCACACATACCTGCATGTTAGCTTGTGAGTTTATTTATGGGAAAAAATGGAAACGCATAGGGGAAAAAAATGTCACTCTTTAATGTACATGTATATTTCTGGTTTTGTTTACAGTTCAGTGTAATTGACCAAAGGGATTTTCTTGAACGTTCTTCAATGCTTTTGTGATATGGTGCAGCAGGATAACATTGAAAAATGAGCTGTTTCTCAGATAGGAAACCCCTGACAATTTGCTTGTGCAAAATGCCATCCATCATCAACAGCAACAGTTTGACATTTCGACGATAGGGCAGAAATTAGCAGTGGGTGATACTTGTTTGAGAAAACTGTGCCATGCAACTTTTTTGTCTTGTTTTTGCCAATATTCTGCTCTATATTGCTCTTGCAGAGCTAAAGAAAAGGTCATAAAGAGGACTCATTATCAAAACATTCACTTTTTCACTTTGTCGTCAAAATGTATTTTTATTTTCAGACATCTCAAGATAAAACAAAATTCAGTTATAAATATATAGTTTTGTATTTTTTATGTAAATGTCATATGTATATACAAAGTTTGATGTATTTGTACAGATATTAAGAGTGAAATCAATAAAAAAAAATACTTATCAATTGGTCACTGTGGTGTGGATTTTATTAAGAATTGAGTTTTGCCATTAGTTCATGCCATGTACTCATCCATTTATTAGAAAAGCAAAATAATTGGATTCTAATTCTCATTTTGTATGTAATTGAAGTGTCCTGGCTTCATTGCTTAAGCCTTAAGGGCCATTATATAAAATGTCATTCAACTCATTTTAACTGACATCATGAATCTACTGCCGGAAACCCCCCCCCCCCCCAAATAAACTAGTGGGGCTTTGAATTGAACTAAATTTCAACTAAATCAAGCCAAAATATTCACACAAGGACTTAACTTTCAGTTCAGTTCAACTCCCTACAAAGTCTTTACAGACACATGGTTCCTCTTATCTTCATCACTCAGTTTCTGGTGACGAAAATCAATCACATGCCTTTCTACTACCTACTGATAAAGCTGAAATTGCACTGCATTTTGGCTGAAAGACTCTAGTCTGACCTCACATGATCACAAAATTCACATCATATCAGAGCCATCACTGACTCCAAACATTGTTCTTTCCTATTATGCAAAGCTCCTCATAAAGTTGTCTGGTGCACTTTTGCTCATTTTTCAGCTCTGTACCGCCTTCAAAATGATCATTTTCTAAGCAATGATGTTTTTTTGTTTTTTTACACATATAGGCCATTTATAAGGCAACGGTCTCATGCCCAGATCAATTAGGTTGTCTTTGTCACATCAGTGACTCATTCTGACTTAAGACTTAAAACATGAACCACATTTTATCGATTCCAGGTAATGTAGATTTGTAATGTGATGTAAAATGAACATGGTAAGTGTAGTACTAGAGACTGTGCTAATGTGCTAGCAGAGATGACAGAGTAAAACGGTCACTGCTTTTTCAATTGAACGTCATTTGAAGCAGGCACGTGTTTTATTCATCTGGGCCCATCCCTGGAGGAGCATGAGAGTAAACAATTCTAGCCGCGTTCAGTCATTGAAGCTTGACATTTACCTCATCCTCCCGTCTCAGAAACATTAACACTAAACTGTCTTCAAGGGGGTTTGAAGGGTTGGAAAAACGAACCACCTGACAAGAAGAATTATTTTCTGAGGAAACAGAGAGATGGCATTTCAAAGTACACAGCAAGCACAAACAGCAGCAGTTACTTCAGTAATAATAAGTGCCAAATACTCACACTACTACAGATATTGTGTCATTCCAATGATATAACGTCCAGATTCGGTTAAAGGAATCACAGTAAAACTCAGGCTTTGTAAAGATATAGTTTATTAGATACAGAGTATATTATTTTTACAGGTCTGTTAAAGATAACACAGACAGGCAGAAACGGGATGTCTACTTGGCCGACCTTCTAGTCCTTTTGTCCCAGGAAAAGTTTGCTCCATATGACTTCACTCTCGGTTTTGGGACCCTCTTTTCTGTTATATCATAACTCCAACCTGTAAAAATAAACAAGCGTAGAGCACAGTCAGCCAAGTATATCTTACAGGCTGGATTTGGGAGATGTCCACTATTGCTGATGTGCAGTGTAAACACCAGGCCGGATAAGGCAGGGTGAGGATAAACGTGAATCTTTATGCCATAAACACAAACACAACTCCTTTTCAAAGCGGAGCGTCATCTCCCTCAAGAGATTTTTGGATGGGATTCTGATTGGATGATTGTACCGTTTAAAAACTATGGTCATGATAGTGGAAAAATGTTTAAATGGATTACCGTTCTTCTCGGCGAAAGCGATGGCGTCTTCCTTGGTGCTGAATGTCAGCACCATGTTGGACAGGGGGTCTGCCCTGGATTGGGAATAAAAATCACTTCAGACACTGGATTTTATTTGCCAATTCAAAAAGCATGATGTCCACTCACGTGGAGGCCCAGCCCATCAGTGGGTTTTCCCAGCGCTCCCTGGTGTCAAAATCCATCTTCCACTTTTGGGTATTTTTGACACCGGACTGCATGGCATTGCGGGCAGACACAAAGATACGGACCTTGCGGGTCTTAATATGCTCCTCGGGTACGCCAGTCAAAGTTGTGATGTCCTGGCAAAATGAGGGAGACAAAAGAAGAACTGGTCAACTTTGAGTACATAAGACAAATCTTTCATCAAAACCTAAGCATTAATGTGTGGTTCGCAAAAAACAAGATTCTCATTTGTGCTCTCATAAAAGAAGCTTTGCTGTTCTCACATATTTGCACTATTCCCCAAAGGGCATAAAAGCCCAAATACTTCCTTTTTTGAATGTAGACGCGCACCTGTCTAGACAAGCTAATTTCTCACACTCTCAAAATGCATCGAGACAGGTCTGCAGGTCAGAAACCTGGGCTTTCAGGTGTGAAGGTGAAAAGAACTCTGCAAACTTGAAGTGAATACTAGTACATTAAACTTAAAGTGTTCGCTCTGAGCAGGTGAATCATTCAGGGCATCAGTCGGTCTTCATTGTTGGACTGAATTTTTCCCACTGGCAATGATATGATTCCAGAGTTGTACTCAAAAAAGTAATTTTATAAATAAAAAAATTATATATATATATAATTTTTACAGAAAAACACTAAAAATACTAAATACCCTTTAATTGGTAAATTAATGAACCATACACGGTAAACAAAAAATTGTAAATGGTTTAACGCATTAAATATAATTATATTGCATTGTATATAATTTTACTGTAAAAGAGTGAAATCTGTGTTTTTGCAATGTGACATCACATTGAATTAAATCTAAATAGTTTAATTTCTTCTTAATTTAGTTATTATTAATGTACACTAGGATGTTTTTTTTACATATTTAGTTTAGTTTTGTTGTTTATTGCATTATTTTAGTGTCACATGTGTTACCCTGATGGTGTGTATGACCCTGTGCACCATCTACATAAAAGTACTGGCCATGTTTTATGTGGCTATTTATTGCACTACCTGAATTATTATTGTGGTTATCAGTACAATAATTATATTGCATTGTATATAATTTTACTGTAAAAGAGTGAAATCTGTGTTTTTGCAATGTGACATCACATTTAATTAAATCTAAATAGTTTAATTTCTTCTTAATTTAGTTATTATTAATGTACACTAGGATGTTTTTTTACATATTTAGTTTAGTTTTGTTGTTTATTGCATTATTTTAGTGTCACATGTGTTACCCTGATGGTGTGTATGACCCTGTGCACCATCTACATAAAAGTACTGGCCATGTTTTATGTGGCTATTTATTGCACTACCTGAATTATTATTGTGGTTATCAGTACATTAAGTAAAAAAATAGATTTGAATAGTTCCAGTAAATTGGTATATTAATATCACCTAATTTAGGGTAATATACGGTTGGTTATAAGGTGTAAAATATGCCATTTCATAATAACTGAAACATTGTCACCATATTTTTTGACCACAAAGTCCTGGCAAACAAAGCGGTCTTTTTTTTTTTTTTTTTTACCTAAATGTTTTCCCAAGCTCGATCTTCTCTAGGGCTGCACGATTAATCGCATGCATATTTAACGTGCATCTTGTCAGAAAGCCGGTTTTGTAATCAGCGGTAAATCTCCATCACCTGCGGGCTTCCACATTGAGCAGCATTACCTACACAGAGCCGTTGTTCGCTGACGAGCTGCTCAAAAAATTGCGCGAATATGAACGCGGTTTTGCGCAGCTCGTCAGTGAACAACGGCTCTGTGTAGTTAATGCTGCTCAATGTGAAAGCACATTTACCGCTGATTACAGAAGCGGCTTTACTGATAAAATGCGCGTTAAATATCTTATAGTGCAGCCCTAATCTTCTCTAAGTCTATTTTTTCGGATGCCGTGAAAATGTATTTATATTAGTGCTGTGTTCGATACATCGATACGACGACGTATCGTCACAGAGATTTGACGATACGAGTATCGATACAGCTGGCCCAGTATCGATATTGTGGCACGTGTGCAGTAGTGGACCGCGCTTAATTTGAATACAAGAACAACGTTTAAAATTGAGCAGAAAAGTGCGATGTTTCTAAAAAATAATGAATAGAGCATAATATATAGGCTATAACAAGGTTTAATCTGGCCGCAGAGGAACACAACTGGGATGCCTGATATAAAGAGACGTAATCCCCGAAACAGAGCTTCCCACTTGCGCAATACGGAAATATCTGCTGTGTGTGCTACTTATCTTTGTC